GCCTTATCAAGTTTGCAAACATAATGAGGTGTTTGTTTATTCTCATACCCTGGTGGTTGCCTCATATAGACCTCCTCTTCTAGAACACCATGCAAAAACGCGTTCTGAACATCTAGCTGTCTAAGACTCCATCCTTTTGAAACAGCAATGGCTAGCACAAGTCTTATAGTGGCAGCTTTAACGACCGGACTAAATGTATCCACGTAGTCAATATCATATCGTTGCTTAAACCCTTTTGCAACTAGACGTGCCTTGTACCTATCAATGGAGCCATCTGCCTTTCTTTTTATTCTATAAACCCATTTGCAATCAATAATATTTTTACCTCTCTGATTCGGTACCAAGTGCCATGTCTTGTTCTTCATGAGTGCACCATATTCTTCATCCATAGCTCTTTTCCACCTAGGATCTCTAAATGCATCATCTAATTTTGCTGGTTCACCTGAAATACACAACATGCCATATGGTATTGTGCCATCCGTTCTTTTTTTAGGATTTCTAATACCTTTTTGAAGTCGAGTCATGACTCGTGTAGCATCAGGTTGTGGCCGTGCTGAATTTTGCGCAGAAGCATGACCAGATTGGCTAGATACAGAAGATCCCGGAGAGCTCTCAGAACTTGCCGCAGACGATCCAGTAGCCTCTGGTGTGGCGGCTGTTTCTTCTGTGGTCGCAGGATCAGCAGCCGCATCTGATCCGCACCCTGGCGCGGTCAGCTGCATGTGAGCAGAACGCCCCGCGGCGATTGGCTGCATGCGTTGCTGCATGCGCCTGCGCCCGCGCCCCTGACTGACGGGCTCCTGATCCGAGGCATATACGTGCCCGTGATCCAAGGAGGATTCTCGCACGGGCGTGGCAGGCGCCGCTAGATCGCCCTCGAATACTGCGCTTGCTCCCTCTTCTTCTGGCACATGAAATAACGGAGCGTTTTGATCAATTTGAACACCGTTTTCTGCCCCGTTTTCTTCAGAGACCTGCATACGTACAGAAGAAGCATTAGGATGAGGAGATGCAAAAGGAAATACTGACTCGTCAAACACAACATCTCTGGAGATATATACTCGTCCCGTAGAGATGTCAAGACACTTGACTCCTTTGTGTATAGGGCTATAGCCTATGAAAGCACATTTTTTTGAACGGAACGCAAGTTTGCGTGTGTTATAAGGCCGGAGGTTGGGCCAACAAGCACATCCAAAAACTCTAAGAGACTTGTAATCTGGTGAAATACCAAAAAGACGAGTAATGGGATTCTCAAAGTTGATGACTTTGCTAGGACGAATATTTATGAGATATATGGCAGTAAGAAAAGCTTCATCCCAAAATTTTAAAGGCATGGAGGTGTTTGCTAGCAATGCTAGTCCAACTTCAACAATATGGCAGTGCTTGCGTTCAGCAGACCCGTTTTGTTGGTGAGCATGGGGACATGAAACATGATGAGAAATTCCAATATTTTGAAAGAAAGAATTTAGTTTCTCATACTCACCACCCCAGTCGGTTTGCATGGCAAGAATTTTGGAATTCAATTGTCGTTCAACATGGTTCTGAAAATTGCTAAAGACTTGAAAAACATCGGATCGTTTCTTTAGCAAATAAATCCAGGTAAACTTACTATAATCATCAATAAAGCTCACATAGTATGAAAATCTTCCAACTGAGGTAGGGGCTGGTCCCCATACATCTGAAAAAACAAGTTGCAATGGAGCAGTGGAAATACTAGTAGAGATAGGATAGGGTAACTGATGACTCTTAGCTTGTTGACAAGTATCACAAACTGACTCAGAACTAGGCTCGTAAGAGAGCTTATTTTTACTAAGGACATGTTGAACTATAACTGAAGAAGGATGACCCAAACGACTATGCCACTTTGCCGAAGATGGTTGGTGACACTCCAAGCTTGTTTATTTGACCATGATGAAGATGAAGATATGAGTGGATATAAGCCTCCCTCACACTTTCCTCTAAGGATGATTCTCCTCGTTGCCAAGTCCTTGACCACAAAAGAGTAAGGGTAAAAAATTATGAGAACATTATTGTCGAGGGTAAAGCGATGAACAGAGACAAGATTCTTGGATGTATCAGGGACATGTAGAACATTGTTTAGATGCAAGTCTTTTAAGGGGGTTTTAACAATTGAATTTCCAACATGGGTAATGTCCATACCTGAACAACTTGTCGTGTGCACTTGGTCACCTCCGTGGTATCTTTCCCTCATCGTCAACTTGTCAAGCTCCCCTGTAATGTGCTCCGTAGCGCCCGAATCTGCGTACCAATTGGTGTCAATCCCGTAGGAGTTTGTGACAATGTTGGCCTTCTTTTCTTCATGATCCTCATCATACCGATGCCAGCAGGCCCTTGCGCCGCCGGGGTGATGCTTGTAGCAGATCTGGCATTCGGGATAATCCCGTTCTTGCTGTTGTGGCTGCTATAGTTGTTGTCGTGGGCATTGCTGATGGCCGCCGTAGCCGCCGCCGCGAGCAGGAGAAGAGGAGGGGCGGTCACCGCGATCACCACGGCCGCGCCCCCTGTTTCCTCGCTCATGGCCACCTCTTGGTCTGTACTGCCCACACCCTTTGTAAATAGCATTGGCAGAGGAGCGAAAGCCGCCTTGTCCATCTCCTAGCATCTCCATCCTCTGGTCGAAGGCAGAGATCTGCGAGAAGAGATCATCAACCGTAATAGAACTCTTGATGGCGCCAACTGCTGCCACAATTGGATCATAATCCCGATCGAGTCCAGCCAGGATGTAATCCACCATCTCTCCGTCGGTTACTGGACGACCCGCTGCAGCGAGTTCATCACCGAGGCTCTTCATCTTGGCGATGAACGCATTACTGGACATATTGCCCTTCTTGGTGTTGGAGATTGCAATCCTCAGATTTGTTATCCGAGACTGAGACTGCGCAGCGAACAAGGTAGTAAGGGCAATCCAAAGATCATGGGTATTCTCCTTACGATGACTTGTGCGAGAATCTCCGGGGTCAGCGAGTTGAGCAAGTAGCTCAGGACCTGCTGGTCCTTTGACAGCCACGGGCCATATAGAGCACTAGGCTCTATGACCGTGGTCTTGTCCGCCTTGGTGACTTCCACCGTCTTCGGTGGTGCGGCGTCGCTGCCGTCAAGGAGGCCGGTCACTTGCGCTCCACGCAGTGCCGGCATTACTTGCGCCTTCCACAGGAGGTAATTCCCCCGTGCAAGCTTTTCTGTTGGAGGTGCGCCGAGGTTGAGGACGACGGCGCTTGAGCTTGCGGCCATGGCGAAGATAGGGTTTCTGGTTTCTGTGTTGCTAGATAGAAGGGAAGAGGCTAGCTCTCTATACCATGTAAGATTTGATCTGGTGGAAGCGTTCCTACTCCCGATGGGAGCCGCGTTGCATTTATTTATGAGAGACAGGAAAAGCCCCTGCCGTGGCTACAAGAATACGACGATCGCTAGGATACATCGATGAGGAGACAGAGAAGGATACGAGAGAAGTTCAGATAGAGGGGTTTAGATTACAACAGGTTTAAAACAGAATTCTAACAATGGTAAGTTCAACATTAGTTTAAAACTACGACATTTATTATGGATCGGAGAGAGTACCATTCAATTTATAGAAAAACAAAGTATTGAACGTTGTAATTTTTGACGTCATGTAATATGGGATGGAGGGGGTATGTTTTTCCACAAAAAAATCCAATAGTGTTGATCAGGTTGCAACATGTGTGACATACAGATCAGATAAAAAGAACAATCACTCGGTGCCTTCATGAGTTCATGTTAACCTGGAGGGAACAAATTTCAACCTGGAGCAGCTCTAGCATGCATGGCCGTCTCATGAACTTGCAATGACTTGCAGCACCAATTACAAGCACATCTAGAGTATTTAGAATCACAATAACAATATCCCATATACAACTAGTGCAGAAGAAAACACAAGATGTGATCTAACTTCAAGTGAGAAAGCAGGAACGTCCCATCGGTGTGGGTGAGAATGGTGAATGATCTTCAAATCGGTATTTAGTTGATAATTGTAGCAACAAAGAATCGTTTGTTCCACCGCGTGATTCCACTCGCCTCGCGCTCCGGCCTCCTTCTCGTCCGCCATCCATCATCAACACCCGGCCCTCAAGTTTTTGAAGCGTAAATAAGGTATAGGCCTCATGTGAGCATAAGCATATAATAATCTCCAATGGATAAGACATCTTTTATATCTTATCAATGGTCATACAATCTCTCGTCATCACGTGGATTGGACAGGAGATTTACAACCCTAGCCCACATCTGGAGTCAATCAAACTTGAGATCTCTGAGCGAGGGTCGCATGCAATCTTCAAACTCAAATAAAATCACTGCATTCTTACTGACGACCATGATCTGTTGTGTTGCAAACTCAGTTACAAACATACACCTCGCCCACAGATCACACATGTAGTATTAGTTCTTTAGGGTTACCTCAAGCTGGATTGCGCTGGAGATGTGCCTTCATCACGATCATCGGTCACAAGAGACGTTGCCTCTTTCGTCGGTGATGTCCAATTTCCTTGCCTCCAACATGCCGTGCTCTGCTGATGTTGCCATGTCCTGCCGGAGACGCTCCGCCCCCAATGTCCACGCAACCCACGATGGAAGTCTCCGAGAATTACGTACAGGAAAAAGTTTCGCGCACACATGACGTTACAGAATACCCGAAGATGTACGTAACGTGGTGTATGCATTGCGTGCCAGTCCGACGCCCGCACCCCCGAAACAGAAACCGATCTACGGCGTGTCTCTCTCAGATCCGATCGCATGCATGGAGGACGTCGCTCCCGTTGCCCCGCGGAGAAGGAGGAGGCAGAAGAAGAAGCCAAGGGCGGCCGCCGCCTCAGCCACGCTGCCGGACGACGTCGTCCTCGAGATCCTGGCGCGCGTGGCGGACGACGTCGCCGCGCTCTTCCGCTGCTCCGTGTCGTCCAAGCGGTGGCGAGCCCTGGTGGCCGACCCCTCGTTTCTCCGCCGCCGCTGGCCGGTGGGTGCACGCGATGCCCGTACTGACGCATTTCGTCCGGGCGCCGCGATCGCCTCTCGGCCCTAGGCGGCGCTTGCTTGGCTCCTTCTTCCCCAACGCCGGTGGTTTATTAAAGGACGCGGTTCCACTGGCCTCGCGCTCGGGCCTCCTTCTCGTGCGCCTCCGCTCAAGCCTGTACTGGGATGATGATGAACGGGAACTCGTCCGCCTGGCCGTGTGCAACCCACTCGCCGGCACATGGGACGAACTACCACCGCTGCACCGTGGATCATCCATCATGAGCGAAGAGGCCCAATGCGCCATTCTAACAGACACAGACCACGGTCCGAAGGGACGGCCACGAAAACCATTGCCAGGCTACACAACATTCTTCAAAGTGACGGTCATCATGTTGGGATATCATAGGGGGCCTTACAGCATGTACACTTTCTCTTCCGCTGAGTCAAGTTGGAGCGCACCTAGAAGGTGCTTTGCGCCTCTGGAGTATACCTTCGTCCATGGCAACCCTGTCGTGTCTCGGGGCAAGGTGCACTGGCTCATCAAGGGCTTGGGCAACGTTTGGACCCTTGGATTCTGCATTGAGACCGAGCACATATCCATAACAGAGCTTCCGATTCCACAGGACTTCTGCGAATACAGCAGCTTCAACCATGCACTTGTGCTTAGCGTGGCAGCTAATGGCAAATTATCACTGATTTGCCTACATAAAAATTTCCTCCAGGTACAGATATTTACATGTAAAGGTAACGAAGGGGATGGCAATGGCGTTGCCGATGCACTACATACTGAGGTCATCAAGCTCAAACGCAAACCAAGGCAAACCACCAAAGCACTCTACATGTATGTGGGCGAGAAGAGCACGACACTGCTTGTCATTGACCAACGCAAGTTCATGTGCATTGTCAATCTCGAAACAGGGACAATTGATGAGGTCACGGGCATGTCTGGCTACTTTAAAGGACATACCGTCGTGCCATTCGAGATTGATTGGTCGTCCTTCTTCATGTCCAGCTTGGAGGCCCATTGAAATCATGTCGTGGACTCCTATATTATTTACTGTTTAATTTTGAGAATATGTTGCTTAACGTTGATTTTGTAAGCTATGACATTGCGGCTAAAAGGTTACTGCAGGAATCGCAAGCTCTTTATGATCATTGGCGAAATCTACTATCATGGAAATATACGGTTTACAATTTTCTTTTTGTTTACAATTGTGCTTTTTGTAGGCTGCGTGCATCACTTGATGCAGAGGTCCCACATTTTGAAAACAATTATGATTCTTGTATGTTTTTCCACAGTAAATCCTATAGTGGGTTGATCAGGTTGGAACATGTGTGTCTACATATAAGATACAGAGAATAATCACTAGGTGCCCTTCATGAGTTCATGTTAACCTGGTGGGAACAAATTTCGACCTGAAGCGGGTCTAGGATGCATGTCCATCTCATGAAGTTGAAATGACTCGTAGCGTCAATTATATGCATATCTTGTTCAGCATAATCACAAAAAAATAGGAGGAATACAACCAGTGCAGAAGAGATCACTACCGTGAACTAAGAGCAACTCTAGCAGACCCCGCATCTGGTGCAAACCCGCATAATTCCGGCGATTATACGGGCTTGGCCCATTTTTCTGGCCAGACCAGAGACCGCATTGGTGTCTGGCCCATAAAATTTTTTGCCGCAGCCTGCAAACGCAACACCCGTGCAACTATAACTACGGGTTTGCGGGGCAGATGCGGGTCGAAACCCTATCCTCCCGCAGCCGCGTTCCCCTCCAATTCCCCACCGCGCCGCTCGATTTCTCGCCGCCGGCGAGCCTTGAACCACCATGGCCGACTCGGGCAATGAGACGGAGCGCCGCCGCCGCGCCAGATCTGACG